TCGGAGGCCCCGGTCGCCCGAGGCGTCCTCGGAGAACGGCCCGAGTCCCAAACATGTTCGGGGACCCCGAGTATACCCACCGACTCCTCGCGCGGAGTGGTCACCACACCGTTCAGGGCCCCCCCGATTCTTCGCCCCAGGATCCGCTCCTGCTGCCCCCCCCCCCCGAGGCCCGAGAGCTGCCCCCGAGAGGCTGGAACTGAGGAAAACGCGCCGCGACTGAAGAGAAAATCCGTCCGCCCAGACGGCTTGGGGGCCAGGACTGCGCAGGGCGAGGGCTGCGCATGGCGACGGCTCGAGGGAGGACGTCAGGGGTGGGCCCGCTCGGGGGGCGCGGGGCAGGGAAACCCGACCTGGAATCGGCGTTACGTCGCCGATGCATCGGCGATGGCCGCCCTGGGCGGGGTGGGCTGTCGGGCTCCTGTCGGCGACGGATGAGCCATGGGGGCTCGATGCGTCCTCCTGTGAGGCCCATCCCCACCCGACGTTACCCCTGACTGGTCTTGGCTCTCGGGTCCCAACGCAGCTCTCCAAAGGGCCGTTCGAAACGATCCAGGTACCCCCAGCACGCCCTCGGCGAGGCGCAGCTCCTGGAGCTCATCTCGACGCTTGAAAGCCTTCAGGAAGCAACGGGAACGTCGAAACAAACAGAAAGCTGAATGATAGCCAGCATGGACCCCAAACCATACGGTCTTGCACTGTGCAGGTGAGCGCTACGCGCTGCAAGCTTTGTGGTGAAAGCTACATCGTGTACTCAACGTGGTGCGAGCTACGCAAGTGGAAGCTGTGCGATGCAAGCTTTGGTACCAAACATGCCGTAGAAGCCATGCCCTTTGAACTGCAGGCTGGAGGTGGGAGCCATGGGGTGTAAGCTATCTGATGTAGGCTACGTTTGAAGGAAATAACAGGATTCCCCATGTCTTTCCATCTTTTCGGTGTGTGTGTGTGTGTGTGTCTTCCCCCCCGCTTCCCACATTTTCCCATACTTTTTGGCTGGGGGATCGACGAATAATCGTGCCTGTGTGTTTTGTCCCCTCCTGAGCTGTGTGGTGCCAGCTGTGCGGTGCAAGCTGTGTGGGTGGGGGGGGGGGGGCGCACACGGGGCGCCCGAGAGGCGGCACGAGCCCGCCGCGAGGCGGACGCCCGCAGCGTTCGACCGAGTACCCTGCACGAGGCCGGCAAGCAGCACCGGGGACGGGCACTGCCAGGGGACCCGGCGGGCCCCGACGCACGGCAGCACGCAGCAGGTGTCGTGTCGAGACGGAGCTCAGCACGACGCGAAGCGTTCGCCAAAGCGTGGACAGAGCGTGGAACCAACACGCAGCGTATTGACACGGGCGTCTTGAACACGGGACGTGTTGCGTTTCAAAACGGGCGCATCGAGGCAATTAAGCTTGGGGCGCGTTGGGAAGCGGACCTCGGTCCTCGAACCTCTGAGCCTCTCCCACCCCAGCTACGGTCGGGAACCCTTTCTGCATAATGTGTCGCCCAGGCGGCCCTGGCGACATACGCTGTGCCCTACGAGCTGATCGCGCGCCGCTCTGCTCCGTGGGGGGTGGGAGGCGCGGAAAAGCTCGAGACATGGACGCCTCGGGGACCGCAAAGTAGATAACCTCACCCAGTGATTAAGACGCCCCCCGGTGATATCAATAGCACCGCACCGACGTGAATACATTCCAGGGGGGATTTCAGCCCAACGATAACTTTAGCACAGCGATCGTCTTGCGCCAGAACACATATTTTCACGCGCACTACGGGTGCCGGGATGACGCTCCCCGGCGAGGGACGTGTCATTATCTTTAGGTCGGGCCTGTCCCCCTACAGGAGGATTGTGGGCGAAAGATCAAGCATAGCCAAAAGATGTCCCAAAGATGTTCAGACATGCTTTAAGACATCGTCCCCCGACTATCCTTTGAAGACGTATTTGAATATCCCCCCGGTGGAGGGACAGGCACGACTTGACACTGTCTTGCCGACCAGGGGAGGCTCTCGACCCCCCGGGGGGCGAGGATCTCAGGCCTGCCGCACCGAGGCGCGGCGGGCCCCCGCACACCGGCAGAGCGGCGCCGCGGCCCCCGACGGACCCCGCCCCTTGCAGCACGCTGCCCTTGCCGAACGCTCGGGCGCCCCTTCTCCCCGTGGCGTGCTTTTCGGCGTCGTGCGTGCTCTTTTTTTTCTTGCTGCTCGACGGTGCAGGACGGTTCTCCAGTGGGTCCATCGCCGCGAGAAAAGGCACACGTCCGAGCGATACGCAGAGAGAGAGAGAGAGAGGGAGAGAGAGAGAGAGGGAGAGAGAGAGAGCGAGAGGAACAATGCCAAAAAACATAATCGAAAAGAGGGAGAGAAAGGAAGAGGCAGAGAGAGAGAAGGTGCCCGTGGCGCCGGCGCGCGAGGCGGGAGGGCGCCGGGGGGGGGGCGCCAGGGCGAGGGCCGCGCGCGGGCCCCGTGGCTCCTCTCGGCCGCCTCGCGGCTGCTCGGCCTCCCTCCGCCCGCCCGGGGTCCTCGCCCCGCGCGCCCCCTGCGTGAGGCCCCCGCGGGTGGCCCCCGGGGAGGGCGCTTGCGCGGGCGGGCGCTCTTCGATCTGCTCTGGCAGGTTTTTTTTGTTTCTTTTTTTTTGATGTGTTTTTTCTTTTTTTCAATGTTTGTTATCTGCTCTGGCAGGTTTGCTTGCGCGGAGGGGGAGGGGCGGGGGGGGGGGCGAGGCCCCGAAGGGAATCTGGGCTTCGCGCACGTCAGGACTCGCTGGCACGCCTCTTCGGCCCGGCCTTGTGTGCAGAGGCGGCGGAAGCGCGGTGGGGGATGCCACGCAAACAGACTTGCTCGAGTCCAAACCTGATGTTGTCACGAATCCCCACCTTGGAGGACAAGTGGGCGTGAATTGCGAGACAGAGAAAAACGAAGAAGAGGATGCCGTTTGTCGTTGTGACGCTTGGGGGCCTCTTGGGGCCTCCTCAGGTCCTTCAGCCGTCCTGGAGCCCTCCTGAGGGAGTCCCGGGGCTGTCCGTTTGTCGCTCTGACGCGTTGTCGAGGCACTTCCAGCAGTCCTGGGATCTTGGGGCAGTCCTGGGGCTCTCTTGAGGGCTTGTCGGGGCTTTCTGGAGGCGTCTCGAGGTCTTGAGGCCTCTTGGGGTCTTCTTTGGCGTCACTTGGGGTCTCATCAGGTTCCCGGGTTGTCCGTTTGACGCTGTAAGGCTTTGTCGAGGCGCCTCCAGCCGTCCTGGGGCTCTCTTGGGGCAGTGCTCGGCCCTGGAAGCCTCTGGAGGGTTCTTGGGGGCCTCTTGGGGCCTCTGCAGGGGTGGTCGGGGCCTCTTGGGGCTTCTTGGGAACCTCTGGGGGTCTCAGGAGCGGTCACTCGGGCGGACAACCCGAAAAATCGGCACCTGCCTCCGCTCCAGGGGCTCTCTTGGGGCGTGCCTGGGGCGCTTGTGAGGCTGTCTTGGAGGTCTCTTGGGTCGTCTGGAGGACGTCTTGGGCCGTCTGAGCGCTCTCTTGGGGGTCTCTGAGGCTGTCTTGGGGCGTTCTTTGGGACCTCTTGGGCCGTCTTGGAGCGGCGGGAAGCCGAAAATGCGAAAACGAAAACGAACTTCCCAAAAACCTAAGGAACACTAATGATTTTTGATGTTTCGGGCTCTCCTGGAAAGCATCATGGGGGCCTCTCGGGGCCTCTTTTGAACTCCCTGGAGCAGAGAAGCCGAAAAAACTACCCCTGCCTCCGCTCCGGGGGCTCTCTTGGGGCGTGCCTGGAACCCTTATGAGGCCGTCTTGGAGGCCTCTTGGGTCGTCTTGAGGACGTCTTGGGCCGTCTGAGCGCTCTGTTGGGGGTCTCTGAGTCTGTCTTGGGGCTTTATTTGGGGCATCTTGGGCCGTCTTGGAGCGGCGGGAGGCCGAACATGCGAAAGCCCCAAAAACCTTCAAACACCTATGGACACCTAACGATTTGTTACGTTTCGGGCTCTCCAGGGGCTCTCTTGGGGCGTGCCTGGGGCTCTTGTGCGGCTGTCGTGGAGGCCTCCTGGGTCGTCTTGAAAACGTCTTGAGTCGTCTGAGCGCTCTTTTTGGGGTCTCTGAGGCTGTCTTAGGGCGTTCTTCGGGACCTCTTGGGCCGTCTTGGAGCGGCGGGAAGCCGAAAATGCGAAAACGAAAAAGCATCAAAAACCTGGGGACAACTAATGATTTGTTACGTTTCGGGCTTTCCTGGAAAGCCTCTTGGGGGCCTCTCGGGGCGTCTTTTGGGCTTCTTGGGACGTCGGGACGCCATATTGGGCGTCTTGGGCCGAACTTTCGGCCACTCGAGGCCCTCTTGGACCATCTTGCGGACCATCTTGGGGCCGTCCATGCCTCCCAGAAAAGCCCCTGCAGAAATAGGGCCGACTCCGGCCGTCGAGCGGCCGTCTTCCGCCAGCTTCCGCCGGCGTTCCGCCCGTGGCCGGGGCCATTTCCTGAGGGGGTACCCCCCAGACCCCCCCAGGGGGACACTGAACGGGAACCCCTCCGCCAGGTCGGGGAAAAAACATCACAGATCCACGCACCTTTTGTCCCCTGCGTGTGCTTCGTGTTTGGCCCTCACAAACTGCTGCCTGGCCTCAAAGCGGCCCCAGGCAGAGCCCGCGACAAGGCGTAGCTGTTGAAGCGGGCCCTCGGGCCCGACGAGCCTGAAAGAGACCTCCCCAGGAATAGGACGGGGAGGAGGAGGAGGATGAGGAGGAAGAGGAGGAGGAGCAGGAGCAGGAAGAGGAGGAGAAGGAGAAGGAGAAGGAGAAGGAGAAGGAGAAGGAGAAGGAGAAGGAGAAGGAGAAGGAGAAGGAGGAGGAGAAGGAGGAGGAGGAGGAGGAGGGGAAGAAGGAGGAGGGGGAGGGGGAGGGGGAGGAGAAGGGGGATGGGGGAGGGGGAGGGGGAGGGGGAGGAGGAGGAAGAAGAGGAGGAGGAAGAAGAGGAGGAGGAAGAAGAGGAGGCTCCCATCCGCGCCTCGTCGCGGGGGCCGCGCCGTGTTTCTCGCGCCCTCAGCCACACGCGGTGGGCTCGGCGCCCGAGGCGCAGAGGCCCTGCTGCATGGCGGCGAGGTCCCCGAGCCACTGCGCCAGCTCGTGGCGCGACAGCCCCGCGGGGAGGGGCGGGCGGTGGTAGCCCCAGTGGTTGGTCAGCGACGCGTCCTGGACGCCCACCTCTCAGGGGGACAGCAGGAGGTGGGGTAGGCACCACCAACTCGAGTCCAAGCGCACCGAGACAGGACAGGGGAGAATGGCGAACAAACGGTGAAGCACCAAGCGAGTGGCGGCCCCCGGAAGAAGGAAACGTGCGCATCCAGCCCCACCTGAGCCCGTTCCCCAGGCCCACCTTGGAATGCATCCCTCTCCACGAACCCCGGAACCTCTCAGGGGCGCACTGGCGCATGTCAATGCAAACCCGGATGAATCAGGCTTTGCAGGATCCTGCAGGATCCCGCGCGCTAGCCCAGATCAGTGCACCCCTGGCTCTGCAGGAACCTGCAAGATCCCGCGCTCTGGCTGCCCCCTGTTTGTGCTTACCCCCGTCTCGAGGCTCCCGACCTCCAGGTGCCAGCGGACGCCGGGGGAGTCGTTTGGGTGGCTGCCGTGGTGGGTGAACAGCGTGTGGGCCAGGACGTCCCCCGCCCTGGTCTCGAGCGTCTCCACGCCTTCGTGCCCGTCGGCGAAGCCGCCGCCGAGCTCGCTGCCAGAAGGCTCACCGTCTGGCGACCGCCAGGCCTCCTGGAAGAAGCGCGGGTGCAGCCCGTCGCGGTGCGAGCCCTTGGCGTACATCAACGCGCCGTTGGCGGTCGTCTCGTCCGTGAGCGGGACGTGGAGCACCAGGCTGCGGTCGGCGTGGGCGCTCAGCTCGGGCAGGGCCTCGGACCGCTCCCTCGCACGAGTCGCCGCCATGAGCGAGTACGACATGTCCTGGTGCCACGGGATGTGCTGCTTGGCGCTGCCCGGCAGCTTCGCGCGCGCGATGACGTAGTTCATGACGGGCTCGTCGGCCGCCAGGAGGCAGCTCGCCAACTCGCGGACGGCCTGCAGTATCGGAAAGAGGTGTGCCCGGACAGTGGTGTCCATCCACGCCATGTTGAGATCGCTCTCCTCACGCAGCGCCTCCGGGAATGACTCGGGGTCCTCGATGGCGAGGCTTGGGGTTACGACATACGCCGATAATGATGTCATGATGTGATCGACTCAAGAATTAGGAAGTATCCGGCGACCCTCGTCTCTGTAGCCCGTGCGGAGCATCAGGGAAACTGGAACTCTTGGAGCGTGTCATTATCATGACCGCGTAACCCCTCTGAAGACGTCCCCTGGAGGCATTCTCTGGTGGCCTTAGCTCGAAGATTGGCAGAAAACCTTTTAGCAGGCCGCCCTTTAGTGGAAGCTTCCAGGGACACTTCGCGTGCGCACGACACCGAATACTGAGTGGACCCAAGCGTGGGAGAAAATCGCACTCCTAAAACAACCCCATGTCTCCAGCGAGACGCACGCCGATTAGCGACACCGACTGGGGACGGTTCCGGCATAGTCGAATGCCGACGTCGAGTAAAACAGTGCGAGGATAACATCGAAAGTCCCACCAGCCCTCTGGGCGCAGGTGGTCCAGAGCATTTCCTTTTCCAACCTCCTTCCTTTTCCTGCTCGGGAGGTGTACCTCCACCCCCCTCCCTGGGTCTGGAAGGGGTGGGCCCGAGGGGGTAGAGCGTCCAAGATGGCCCAAGATAGCTCCAAGAGGATTTTGGTAGCCCAAGATGGCCTCCAAGATGGCCTCCGAGATATCCCAAAATACTTCGAGATTGCCCCAAGACGGCCCCAAGACGGTTCCAAGTGCGCTCCGAGCCCTCCAAGGACCCCCAAGAGGCCAAAGCGGGTTCAAAACCTGAGGACTAGCAATGTGTTTTGCCATTTCGTTTTTTCGCTTCCGATGGGCTCTTGAGGTGTCAAGATGGCCCCAAGATGGCCCAACATAGCCCCAGGAAGAGCCCGAGAGGGCCCCAAGACGGCCCCAAGAGCGCCCAAAATCGCCGCAAGAGCGGTCCAAGAGGGCCCCAACACGCCATTCTTGGGCCTCCGAGGGGGAGACCTAAATTAAGGACCCCCTCATTCTGAGCGAAGGGGTCCAAGACGGCCCCAAGAGGCCTTCCACACCCTCCCAAAGACCCATCAAAAAGCTCCAAGAAGGTCCCAAGAAGGCCCCCACAGGACCCCAACATGGCGCCCAAATGGCATTACGAGTCTTCGAAGAACCCCTCACCACGACATATGCTCAAAGCCCGACTTCTCGTCCTCATTGTCGTCGTCCGTTTTTTCCTGGCTTCTTTCCTGCCACCTCCCTGCTCCTGCTCATCCTCCTCGCGCGCCGAGTTCCTCCTGCTGCTCCTCCTCCTTCCCTAGGACGGGGAGAACAGATTGACACAATTTGCTATTGATGCGTTCCGGGGAGCCCGGAATTTCTAACAACTTTCGCGCGGGGTACACTTTGCGTCGAGTCTTGTCTGCTCTGCCTGGGGCCGCTGGTCGGTCACCCATGCGCAATTTGGGCGCCCGAGTTATCCGGGGTAACTCGGGTCCGGGGTAACTCGGGTTTGGATTCCCGAAAAAGGAACCCGAGTTAGCCCTGACCCGAGTTACCCCTGATGATTCGGGGCTCTGGGCGCCCGAGTTATCCGGGGTAACTCGGGTCCGGGGTAACTCGGGTTTGGATTCCCGGAAAACGAACCCGAGTTATCCCTGACCCGAGTTACCCCTGATGATTCGGGGCTCTGAGCAATCGAGTGGTCGTCCGCAGGGGTTTACTCGGCACTTGCTGGCCCCCCTTCTCGTTGCCGAGCGCGGGGGGCGACGCGGGCGCACCGCCCCCTCGCCCGCCGCCGCACACTGCGCGCCTCGGCGGATTTCCAAAGACCTGCTGAGGCAAATCACGCGCGAGTCTGGGAAACTCCGGGGGGGATTTGAAGAATCCCCCGGAGCGTTGCTCAACATGTCGGGCCTACTTTTGAAAAAAACCACGAATCGGCTCTGAAAAGTTCCAGAACCGATTCTGAGAAAAAAATCCGGAATTCATTTCGAAAATGGCAGATTCCAGAAATCTTCAAATGTCATGAGCGACGGGCGCGCTGCACTCCTCAAAACAGCTCTTTGAAACTTGCCCGACTCCCTTTTGAAAAAAATCCCGGGCCGCTTTTGCAAACAAGCCGGACGCGTATTGTGAGCCGTTCTACGATCCGGGATTCTTTCCGGGCGGTCCGACGGGCGCGGCCAGCTGATTCACGCACGGCGCCGCGCGCGATTGGGCGCAGCGCGCGCCGCGCCCTGCGCCCGCGAACAGCACTCGAAGGGGTTACCTCGAAAATCGCGCCACGGGAGCTGCGACTCGCGGATTCCCCAAGAGCATCACAGGCTTGGAATATCCGAAGGCGCTCCGATGCGCGAAAAAACACCGCGCACATCACGCAAATAACGTGCGCGACTGAATGCGCTCGACCATTCGTCCATGGAGCCCGCGTGGGAGAACAGGAAAACCTGAAACCCTTGAAAAGCATCGATATCAATTCCTCACTCTTCAAGTTATCCTTCTCCTTTTCAGCCTCCCCCTCCTCCGCTTCCTTTTCCTCATCCTCCTCTTCCTCCTCCTCCTCCTCCTCCTACCTTTCCTCTTCCTCCTCCTCCTCCTTCCCATCCTCCTTCTGCTCCTCCTCTTCCTCCTCCCCCTACTCCTCCTTTTACCCCCAAAATGGCCCCAGGCATCACAAGCACCAGCAGCACCACTTGCTCCAAGATGGCCCCAAGACCGCAACAGAACACCACAAGCAACAACACAATCAGCATCACCACCACCGCCACCACGACCACCACCACCCGCACGCGAGTTTACGATAAACTTCGGCGCGGGGGCATAGATCAAGGATGCAGATGGGGATGCGGTTCTCGACTGTGCGACAAGGGCGACGAATGATAGATACAATCACCTGCGCCTAACACACTTACCACAGGAAACACCCCGGCGTATCTTGCACCGGCTTCCACCTCAAACTTCGTTGCGGGAAGGCTATGTGCGATCCTTGTTTTTCATGGCCCAAGGTGGATACAGCAACCACGGGGAGCACCACGTCGCATCTTGCACGGGTTGCCAATTTAAACGTCAATGCGGGAAGCAATTTGTGATCCTTGTTTTTCTGAAGACGGCCGCGCGACTGCATGCTTCCAACCGTCTCTGATTCACCAAATTCTCCTGCTGATCGTTTCTGTATGGGCTGGTGGGGATTTTTTGTTCGCGCACGCAAACGGAAGGGCCGCGCGCCGTCCAAAGCTACAGCTGACAAGAAGTAGCCTCAATTGCACACGAGGGAAAGGAAACGAGAGACAACATGAGAACAGCGGGAGGTGAGACTAGCCAGGGCGGGTCGCGCGGCGCTCACGGAGGGGGGGCCATCGGCAGCTAGCAACCGCCGGAGGTACACGCCAAAGTGGCGGGCAAATTGCTGGCCGTGTGGTGTCCCGTGACTGCGGCGTGGGACAACCCCGCTGGAGATAGCGGAAGCCGCAAGCGCCTGCGCTTGTACGAAAAGCAGCACGCGGGGGGCTGAGCGCGGCAAGGGCTATGCATCCCTGCAAGTGGAGCAAGCCTTCAGGTACGTCAAAACCAATGTGGGTGGCGGCGGAACAAGTGAGTGGCGACGATCGAAACTGGTGGACGATTGTTCGCGACCGCGCAGGGGTGCCAGGCGCCGTCCACAAACGCGGCTAACAAGCAACGGCCTAAAGTGGTGAAGATACGCGAAACGCGAAACGTCACGAATTCCCTCAGTCTACTTATCCGGGTGGTAAGACGAAGCCAGGACGAGGATAACATTGGGTGAAGAGAAATCGAGAATCTCTGAAATCCTTCAGCTCTGGAGGATGTATGGGGCGCCGCTGCCTTCTCAGAGCGTTCTGGATCGCTCTGAGAGCGTTCCGGCGCGTTCTCTGGAACGGATTTATCCTCGTCCTGGCCCCGTCCGAGGCGTGCGTCCTCCCAGTGCCCGATCAGCAAGCAAGCCGCCCATGGGCAGCCCATGACAGCCGCAAGACACCCCGCCCCCCCTGGGGCGCGGAGCGTCCCGAGGGGCGACACCTCGATGCCGGCGCTTCATCTCGCGAGGCGTGCTGAGGACGGCCCCGGGTCCCGGCGAAGGCCCCGTCGGAATTTCTTCGTGTATATACTGCTGCTCCCCAGACCTCTCCCAGGGCGCGTTGCGCCCAGAATTTCGAGGCGAGTCCACCTGGGCAGCGGCATCGGCACCACCTCCTCCGAGACAGGGGCTGCCTGTGCGCAACCCCGAGCCCTGCTGGTCCTCGATGTCTGCGCCGCCCCCGTTCTCCCACAGCAGCCTCCTGGCGGCCCGCCGGCCCGACTCCAGCGCCGCCCCCGGCAGCAGGCCGCGGAGGAGTGCGACCCCGTCGCCGCGGAACCCGCCGGCCCTGCGGGGCCACCAGGCTGAGGGGCAGTTCTGCTCGAGATTCTGGCAAGTCTGCTTGCACGGTTGAGCAGGGGGGCCGTGGCGAGTGCCGCAGTGGAGATCCTCACTTGCGCGCCCGTGCAGCCCAGCGCTGCTTCAAAAGGACGCGGAGAGGAGGGGGGGAAGCCATGCGTGCAAACGCGCCTGCATCAAACCAGCACGGCCTCCAAGGAAAAGCGTCACCCCCCCCAGCGCGAGGAGCCACCGAATTTCCGCTTGCGGTGTGGCCCCCTCTCCCCGCTCGAGACACTCCCCGTCCCCAGCTCGGGGAGGCATCGTGTGCCTCCTCTCTGTGGCCCCCCTGTTGATGGTGGTGTCGTTTGTCCCATCATATCGTTTCGCTTCGGAGGGTTCGAGTAAACTTGAAAAGGGCCACAGAAGAGTCATATACTTTGGGGGGGCGAGGAGTCCGAGACCAACCGCCCAACATGGCCTGGTCCGACAGCCGTTTCGCCTGAGACTTTCCCAACATCTATTCAGGAATCGTGCCCTCGCCATTGGCGGCGACGCTCTTGATCCATACGGCCAAGATCCCGCGCAAACGCACACACACACATTGAGGTGAATACGGCCGTGCTCTCACCCCTGCCCCGGCTGCATCCTGCCTGCGGCCCGTCAGGCCAGCCCGTGCACCGTTAACTACCTCAGATGCTCGTTATGGGGGCCTTCCCGGGGCCGCCCGCTCCACTCATGCGCCGGTGCTGCATCGAACGTCTGCTGACACGGGTCGAACTTGCGTCAGTGTGTCGAACTTGGGCCTTTCTTGTCGACCCGGGGTCGAACATACCCGTGAGGAGGGCACAGGGAGGTCCCCAAAATCAGCATCCAAATTACCTCCTCCTCCTCCTCCTCTTCCTCCTCCCCCTCCTGCTCCTGCTCCTGGTCGGCGTTTCGGAGCGAGCGATTGAGAGAACGACTCGCCCGAAGTGCGCCAAGCGCGCACCACGCCGAACCCAAGGCGTGGGTACTCCTCCGAGGACAACGAGGGGGAGGGGGGATGGACTCGCCTCCCTTGCGCGCGCTGCCACTATTGCTTATGAGAACCTTCTACTACAACCCGTACGTGACCAGCACTTACGAAAGGATAGAGGACATCAGCAATGAACTGCGGCACTGAGATATTGTACTATTCAGTGGGACATACACATAGGCAGCCAATACCAGAGAGAAATCAAACAGTTAACACGACCTTTCACCGGGGGGCCAAACGCGGAGGAAAAAAGTAAGTGAATATCGAAAGTGTGTGGTACCACGATACTGATCAACAACAGAATTCCTAAGATGGCCCTCAGAGGTATATGCACCCCACCAGCCAGTATACAAGGTAGAGTGCTGGGAAGGAGGAGACTTGGCCCTCTTCGTTTTGTACTTGGCTCCCACATACTCCACTAGATATGAGGGCATAGCGAACCTGGTGGTGGAATGGGTGGAAGAACAATGCGACAAATTGGGAGTGAGGGCTACAACGATAATATGAGGAGACCTCAATACACAGTTCGGTCCCCATAGGAATCCGAAAGGCACGCTGGTTGATAGCACCAACGACAATGCCACGGGGGGCCCTTACGGAGGGAAGGTGGAAAGCCACAACGGGAGGGTACTTAGGAAGTTCTGCGCACAGAGTGGACTATCTATTGCAACGACTCACTGGGACTGCGGACCGACGTACCACAGCCCAGCAGGCGACCCAAGCAAGATCGACTACACAGCCATTCCCAACTCGGCACTGGGTATGATGGAAAGATGCACGACGCTGGGGAGCTAGGGGAAACGACTACAGCTCACAAAAGTAGAGGCCAAAGGGCCACCTACCATCAGGTATCATACTCCCCTCAATGGTGTCCACCAAGTTCCGACCTCCCCCTGCCCGTCCCGAAGGCCCCGACAGAGAGGCACTTATGCGGTGCTTCAGGGAGGGAAGCAGGAGGGGCGAGTTGCTGTACCACTTCACCCAGGAGCTGCTAGACCAGCAGAAGTGGGACGCGGCGATGGCCGAGCCTACACCCGATGCTGTCTGGGATGTGTAGGGGGATGCTGGCAGGGAGGCCCGGAGGAAGACGTTCCCGAAGAGGAAGAAGGAGGACCCTGCAGTGGAGGAGTTTAGGAAGAGGAGAAGAAAGCTGCTCAAGCAGAGGAGGGAGATCAGGGACAGGCTCGAAGAGGATGGCGATGAGGAGACATTCAATGAGATACAGACAGATCTGGTTACTGTGCCTGCAGTGCTGAAGGCGGTAAGAGAAGCGACAGAAAAGGAGAGGAAAGCAAACATAGCATAGGAATGTTGGTGGCCGCTCGATCAGAGCAACCACAGCAAGATGCATAGACTTAGGATCCGATGCCAGAACTACGGCAGGGGACACAAAAAAACGTATCACTACTCTCCACGGGCCTACTGGGACAAGGAACAACTGTTGCACGAGCTTGGTCGGCATCCTCACCAGGGAGGCTTGGCAGCGGAACACATGTGTATCCAGACTCTACGGGAGAACCACAGAGAGACATATGAATCCATGTTACCGTTGGCAGAGGACGCCGATACCAGAGCGCAGGCCGCCATGGATGAGAGGAACACGTTGCAGTAGTGTAGGAAAGCTAAGAAGAGGAGAGTCGTCCCAGACTGGGGAGTCCCTATGGAGTTGACCTGGATGGCCCGAGCACGCTGGGCAATAGGATAGAGGAGGCGCAGATTAGAGCAGCAGGAGCGCGACATGACAAGGAGAAGCGAGAGAAGTACAGTCCCCTCTTCATACTAGAGCAAAAGGCAGATGCTAGAGAAGATGGGCTGGACGACGGGACAGAAGTTGGGGGTGGACGGAGGAGAGGACGACAGTGCAGGAAGGGAAGCTTGCGAAAGCAGACCATACCACGTACACAGAGCAGCGAAGGCAGGACTGGTTACTGTTCCGATTTCTATGTCCAACCAAGACTCCCCTCCCCCTCTCCCGTCTGAGGGACGTGTTCCTGAAATGCAGTACCTCTGGAACCACACCGCTGGATTGGCACAGATCTCATGCATTCGACGCGGGTAAACACAACAACCAGGAGGGCATCGCAAGTAAGCGCAGTATGCACGCGCATTGTAGCATGGGATCGGCCTGGTTCAAGGGAGTACACAAGAGGGGACCGCAACCAGAACACCCCTCGTGGGCGCAAGATGGGCTCGCTCACAGATGCAGAGAGAACGCCATACTGTGCATAGCGACTACGCAATGGAGAGCACAAGGGGGGGTCAGTGTGGTTAAACAACAATTACGGCTGCACTTGCACGCGCGAAGCATCCCCTACTGGCGGCCTCCGCCTGGCGGTGCGCGAGTGAGGAAGTCAAAATGCATGCAACCGGGGCCATTCATCTTCCGTCTTTCAGTATGCTTTGCGCCGACTGTTGGATCCACGGTATGACGATCCAGGGTGCGCAGATGGGCGTACACGATGCCCTGGGCAGATCAACGGCACGTGCAACGTCTATGTGAAACCTGGGAGGAGGACGTTAGGGCGGCAGACGAGGCACAACCACTGCACTACATGGTACAGTCCATCACAGGGGAGCCCCATGACCTCGCACCCAACACGTTCATGGACGACGTGACGCAAACGACGACGATCCCCCAGGAAGCAAGAGCAGGACACGTAGTGGACATCCTCAACAGGAACTTGGAGCTACTCGCCAAGACCATCGGAAAGGGGGGGCAGGCCCCGAACCCAAAGAAGACCAGCCACCTGCTCTGCTCTATGGGCCACGGGAGATTTGCAACTACCAGGGGGCTACGGACTGCCAAAGGACTGCTGGGTACCGCCTGGGGAGAGATGCGAAGACCAGGACCGCACCAACCATCGGACCAGGGACTGTCGGGGGACATCGGGAGGAGGGGAGGGGCGAGGAAGGCAGCTTTCAGACAGTGCGGCTGCCTCTGGGGGTGTGGCACGTCGGATTACATAAAACGGCCCGTCTTCATCGCACTCGTTGTGGGGGCGGCTCCCCGTGGACTCACAGTCTTTGTTCTTCCCACGCGTTTGACCAGAGCGCTGGACACTACGATGGGGAAGTTGCTGAGGAAAGCGAGCCAGGGAGACATGACTTGGAGGGGAGAGGACGGCAATGTCAGATGCAACACCGCGGAGCAAGTTTTATTTCACGGGAGGGTCGACCGAAGTGCCCTCGCTCTAAGAGTCCGCTGCCTGAAATGACGCTAACAATGGTCACGATTCCCGAAAGAGCACGGGGGGTCTTGGCAACGGTCCTGGGGACTTCGAGACTGGACAAGGCCAGGGGGACGGAGAGGCTTTAGGAAGGGAGGTGGTTCTACGACGGCTCCGTACCCTGGGCGAGTCAGATGATGGTGGGCATCGACGCGTTAGCGGGAGTTTGCCCAGAGACGGGCGTCTGGTATGTCAAGAGAAGATCCGACTTGGATGGTCGCCCCAGGGACCGACGATTGGGAAAGGTGGGTGCAAAGGTGGGAGCTGGGCACCACACAACACTAATGACGACCCCATTCCCTGGAGAAAACCGAGGAAGCGGAAGGGGAGGCGGGAGTAATAGAACAACCCTTTCTGGTATGACTGGGCGTGCGTAGACACCGAGGGGACGGAGTACGTATGTGGACGGAGATTCTCGACAACTGCTGCTGTACTGGCACACAAAACGGAAACACACCAAGTCAGACCCCTCATTGCATCATTGGTACTTGCTGATCAATGTCCGTGGTGCCTGAGTAGACCATGCCACTAGAGCAGCAGACGGTCACGGTGTATGCTACAAGGGATTCAGTTGCTGGGTACACGAAGTGCGGACACACACGACAGATGAACTACAATGCCGTATATGTGACCACAAGGCTCCAAACTTGAGGGAGTTCCAGTTGCACGCTCGCTCCCACCACCCAGGCCCAGAGGATGTCAGAGAGCCCAGAGCAGAAGCTGAACATGGCGCATGAGATCCCCCGCCTGGCTGCTCGCACAAAG